TCCTGCTCCTGCTCCCTGCTCCCTGCTCCCTGCTCCCTGCTCCCTGCTCCTGCTCCTGCTCCTGCTCCTGCTCCTGCTCCTGCTCCTGCTCCTGCTCCTGCTCCTCTCACTCGTCCGGCAGCCCTACGGCTGTTCACGCTCGCCGTGTGGACGCCAAGGCGCTCAGGAGGGTCTACGGGCTGCCCTGAGTCTCCAGCTGGAGAGCAGCTGACGCAACTTGCCCCGACCCTCTCGTCATGGTGTCAGACACCAGACAGGTAGAGGAAGAGACTGGCGGGATAGGAGCAGGACCGCTGGATGTGGTAGGAGAGGAGGAAGAGGAAGAGGGAGAAGGGTAGGAGGAGGGAGGAGGGTGGGAGGAGGAGCGGTCGACAATTCAAGATGTTCACTCTCATACAGTAATTGACATATTTACACTGAAACTTTCCTCCCCTCCTCCTCAAAATTTCGCCAGCAGAGGCACAAAAACGAGACCAGCGCTCTCCTCCCCTCGCCAATTCGAGCTTCTGGCTCAGCTCCCTCGTCCTCTGGCGCTTCCAGGGCTACTTGTGGTCGCCACTTTCCCTTCCTCCTCCGCCTTCTCCGGTCCTGCAGGGGGGCAGGTAGTCTCTCCTCCCCCCCCTCTCCCTCCTCCTCTCCCTCCTCGAAAACTTCTGCCTCCGTATCCCCTCCTCTTCCCCCTTCCTCTCTTCACTTCCCCTAGCGCAACAGGAGCAGGAGCAGGCAGAGCAGGAGGAGCGGGAGTAGGAGCAGGAGTGGGAGCAGGAGCAGGAGTAGGAGCAGGAGCAGGAGCAGGAGCAAGAGCAGGAGCTTCGGAGCCCCCTGCGCTCTCCTCAGTTCCTACCGACATCTCCCGCGCCTCCTGCCGTTCAAGACTCTGGCTCGAGTCTTCCGACCGGTTCCTCGCCCTTCTGACCTTATCCTCGAGGCTCACAACCGAGTTGTAGTGCTCGCCCCCGCTGTACTCGTGCATGTGGTAGCTCAGGCGCAGAGGCGGGCCCCCGTACTGGGGGTGCGTCTCCGGGTCGGGGAACTGCTGCTGCGACATGTCGTGGCGGAGGACGAGGATGTCGCGCTTGAGGACGTGGCAGAGGGCGATCAGCTCGTGCTGCCCGCCCCAGGCGTTGGTCTTCTCGATCCTCCGGCAGTAGGCCTGGAACGCGTTCGCGCTCGCATTCTTCTCTAGGGACAGGAAGTGTCGAAAGTGATCCTCGTGCTCTAGCATGTACTCCGCTGCCAGCCGACGTAGCGACTTGTGCGTGTGCTCTGTCGGGTATCCCGTCCTCTTGAGCTGGTCGGAGATCGCGGAGAAGAGGCAGTGGCCGTCTGCTGGGATCTCCACGAGCCGCAGCCCCTGCTCAGCCAGCTGCTTCGACAGGATCCTCGACTCCATCTCCCGATTCTTACGAGTTTTCTTTCTCACCTTGACCACCTTTGGACCCGCCTGCTCGCCCTCCGCCTTCCTCTTCTTCGACGACTTGCAGTCCAGGCACAGCCACTTGCCGTTGACCCTGACCTTGACGCATTCCACGTGGGCCGTCCGGTTGCACCTGAGACAGTTGACCATGGTGCTTCCTTCTTTGACCTCCCCGCACACGCACTCCGCTGTCATCTTCGACTTGGCTCGCATGCCTTTCTTTCCGCCTTTGAGCTTCTTCCCAGCAACATTCTCCGGCTCCTTCTCCTCGTGCCCGCTGCTACCGCAGATGAATCGAATCTTGATCTTTCGCTTGTCCAACTTGTTTCCAGCCTCCGACATTGCCAGAAGATTGTTGACGAGGCCACTAGCATTGGCCTGTGACAACTTCCTCTTTCGAGGAGGAGGCGAGGGCTCTTTATCGCCTTCCTTGTCTGCTCTCTTTGCTCGCTCAAGAAGTCGAGCCGACAATCTCCCTGTCCTGCCGCCTTCGAGCCCTCCCCCGCCCGTCTCGACTCCCCCTTGATCACTCAAGGCAAAAGGCGGCAGCTTCCTGCCTGCTTCTTCATCCCCGACCGCCAAGTTGCTGCTCGTGTCCAGCGTAAAATCTGGAGCTCCTGCAGAGACCGAGAGAGAAGGAGGTGCTCGCTCAACCTGATCTTTAGGCTTTGAACAGGCAGAGAGAGCAAACGGAGCAAGAGGCAGCGCAGGCTTCTCCTTTTCTGTCCCCTCTTGCTTTGACTCCTCTTGACCAGATTGTATGCCCTCTTCTTGCAAACCAGACTGCAATATGATCGACCCAGACTGCATGTTTGGTTCCTGCTCCTGCTCCTGCTCCTGCTTCTTCTCAAGATTTGACTCACTCATGTTCCGATCAAGCTTGCCACCCTCATCAACCTCGTTCTCGTCAACTTGCTTCAGTTCATTCTTAGATTCATTGCTTTCCCCGCGCTCATCAGCGCCCGAGTGCACTTCTGTCTCTGTTCCGTCAACTCCCATCTCCACCTCATGTCTTTCGCTTAGTAGACTTGCACCTTCATCGCCATCCTCTTTCAACGAATTGTCCGTTTCCTGTAAAGAAGCCGCAGAATTGTCTGGCTGATCTGCAGCTTCTTTACAGGAATCCTCACCTTGTTCCCCCTCCTTCCCCTCCTCGGCTCCCTCCTCTTTCCCTTCGTCTTCCTCAAGACCCTGAACGCTCTCCTCGTCGCAGATGACCTCCGGTGTCTCCTCCTCATTTCCTGGCATGTTGACTTGTAGCAACTCTTGGGTTGGCACGTCACTCTCGTGAGTATCAAGCTTTCTAGCATCCAGCACATCACTTCTCTTCTCTTCATTCTGTAAATCTTCTGTGACGTTAGATATTGGGTCCTTGGCCTCATGTTTTAAAGTGCTTTCGCTCACTTCTTCACTTGCTTCATTTCCTCTCTGAAGATCTGCTACTTTGTCATTCTTCTTCTGACCAGTCAAGTCACTATACACATCATTCGTTCCCTCCACTCCAGCGACAATTGCGTCATTGTTCTCGTTTCCTTCAGCATCCCTTTGAGCGTCCTCACCTTGTTCCCCCTCCTTCCCCTCCTCGGCTCCCTCCTCTTTCCCTTCGTCTCCCTCAAGACCCTCGACGCTCTCCTCGTCGCAGATGACCTCCGGTGTCTCCTCTTCATTTCCTGGCATGTTGACTTGTAGCAACTCTTGGGTTGGCACGTCACTCTCGTGAGTATCAACCACTTGAGATTCATTCTTCATTCGGTGCTGCAGTGGTGCCTCCTCTTGTTGATCGCGATCTTGGTGCACATCCTGCTCAGAGATAAGTCCTGCAATCTCTTGATTGAAATCAGTGTTGGTCTGCATAGTAGCATGTTCATTGCGCACTGGTCTCTCATCATCTTGTTGGTCTGCATTCAAGGTAAAGATGTCAGTACCTCCATCTTGCTCTGCTTGGTTTCTGCATTTGTAAGGGGCTTGCTCGCATCTGCTCTTTCATCCTGTGACGACATCTGACTCGTTGGGGGTTCAGCAATGCACACTTGTTCGGAGTCGCAAAGGGTCTGATAGGTACTTGCTGCCTCGCTGCCTTGAATATCATTTTCAATGCCCTGGCATGAGAGCGCGCTGGAAGTGCCCTGCTCTATATCCACTTGCGTTCCATCCTTCGACATCTGAGCTCCTCCACAATCATCCACTTCAAGCATATGCTTGCGATCCACAGGTGAAATCTCAAGCTGCTTTGAATTTTCTGAATATTTTTTGAACAAATCTTCCCCCGGTTCTTCATTTGTACTCACGTCATTGTGGCCAGCAGTTGTGTTGCCTTGATTTTCATTTTTTGATTGTGGAATTCCATCTTCGCTCACCTGCTCCTGTTCTCTATGGTTGTCTACGCTGACATCCCGTGGAATATTGTAAACATTCTGATTCTCATCCCTCACCGACTGCTGCAATTGATCGTCCTGTGTGTCGAGCTTCTGGTATGGATCAACTTGCGTTTTGGTGTCTGAAGAAGTATCTCGTTTCACATCCATCTTTCCGAGAGCAGCAACACTCCTATCATTGTTGTCGGTCTTATAAAGGTGCTCAAGACCTGTGACATACCACTGTCAGTGCGCGCAAGGGATAAGGAAAACGTTCTCACCAGGCGAAGTCAAAGTGATTGTTCTGATGGAGGACTTCCAGCAGCAGAGTTGTCGCAGCCAGTCACCGCTTTCAAGCTCGCTGAAATCTAGATTGCTCAAATATTTTGACAATCTCTTCTTCCGTAGGAAGTGCGACAGATCCAAGTCTTTGTTAGGGAGGTGGCTGATTGCTAGGCGGTCGCTTTCAAGTCGATAGATACATCCTGACGTCTGGGAAAAAGATGTATCATCGAAGAGATCTCGCAGTAGCTGGCAAAACTTTGGTTTCTGCACATTCGCGCCAAATCTGGCATAACAAATTTTGTTAGTTGAAACCAAAATTCTAATCAGATAACGTACCATTCTGCCATCTTCAATGTAAGCTTGTAGCATTTTAGATTTGTCTTCGTTGCACCATTTCATGTGGTTTTCAAATCTACCATGGGTGATGTAATTCCAGCACCTATCTGTATGTTTTGGCCCACAGTTGTTCTTCGTCCAGTACAATCCAGAATCATCAAGCTTTAGGCTCAACGGCCTTGTAGGATCCTTCACCATGACTGATCTAGAGATCTGCCCAGTACGATGAGCAGACGGCATGACAAAATTTGAGAAACATACCTGAATCAAATGCTCTGTGTGAGCTGTTTCACAGTCAAGCGTCCACTGAATGGTCGTGGCAGAGGTTTCGCATACTGCTTCCGAATCATCATCGGAGGGCTGTGGATCGATAGAAGAGCGCTTGGCATCAGTCTTCTTAGTTTGTTTGCGTCCCGGCGTTGTATTTGCACTGCTCGGCCTCAGTTTAGCACTATCGGTTTCTTGGTTCTTGGGCCCGGAGCAGGATTTCGGCTCTTGTTCCATCCTGGGTTTTGCAGCTTTGGCCTTCAACCTCAGCGATTCCCTCCTAGGTCGAGGTGCCTCAACCTTGGGCGATGATACCTTGCAGTTTTCGTTGGCAGATTTGGAATCACGTTCAGAGACTTCCTCTTGACACAATTCTTCTGAAAAAGGGAGGGAGCTTTCGGTAGAGCATCCAATTTTCTCTTCTGTGTCCACATCCGATCGATTTCCTGACTGAATCGTTCCAGAGCTGATGGAAGAATTCATATCTTGTTCAGGACAGCCAGAATTCTCTTGTTGCTTCATTTTAACATCAGATTCGGAGACAACAGAGTTGCTCGAATTCGAGGTAACATTTAAGGACTGCGAGTGTTTGAAGTGATTTGTTAAGTTTTCTTCACACTCAGTTGTGATACTTCCCTTCTTGCTGGTATTGCTTGGGCACGACTTCCTTTTTGTGTTTCTGCCTAACTCATCATGCCCATTCACTCTACGAGGAGCCTTTCCATTGAAAGGAAGGGCTTCCGTGTCTCTTGACCGTCTTGATCCACCTTTCTTCGTCTTGGTCGAGTCTCCTTGGTCAATATCCATTGAGTCATGATCACCGTCATCATTCTTACTCGTTGGCTGAATGTCTCTGTCCGTTTCATCGCTCTGCGATGAACAAGATTGATTTGATCCCCTTTGATCAGCAACATTAATCTGTGTATTGTGGGCCAATGGCGAAGCAGTACATGGCCCTTGCGTCAACGAGTCTTGATCGCAATCAGGCTTTTGTGGTTGGCATGATTCTTCTGATGTAGATCTCTCCACTCCCTGAGAGTCATTCCCAGTCGCACGACGTGCCGGCTCTTCAACTTTCAGCGAATCCACAAGCTCATCCACTGACCCATCGGTGAGTGTGGTGATTGCTTCGATACCTGTTGAAAGTTTTCACGAAGAGCAGAGGACATGCCAATTTATACCTTTGCCTTCTAATTCCATGACATGTCCTGCTGATATCATCCCATTCGAACGCATGTTGAGGTCTACAAGAATGAAATCATTACAATCAAAAGCAAAGAGAAACAAGCTTAGCATTACCAACGGGTTGCTTCAAAGGACTAAGTAGGCAAGTAGCATCTTTGTCTGGGCATAAACCCCCGCCATCTCTCTCAGATTTGTTCTCAGACAGAGCAAATTTGCCAGAGGATGCGATGCGTCGTCCAGCATTCAAATGCATCGAGATCTGATTCGAACTTGGCATATTGGAGTGTCTCTTCTCTTTCAAGAAGTCAGTCTTTGCATCTGTATGACAATGTGGAGTTGCAAGCTCGTAGACGGCTGACTGAAACTCAGCCATTCATCTCCACAAAGGTTTGATCTAATTCTAACCCAAATCTCAAGATTGACAGGTTTGCACCAATTGAATTGTGCCGCATTCGTAGATCCAGCGATAAGGCATGTTCCTGCAGCAGCAACAGAATAAGATCCAGGCGATCCTTTCCGTAATCCTTTGCTCTTAGGCACGCTTGAAAATGCGGGAACAAGAAAGCAACGAACACTCTTGCTCACAAAAGGAAACCTCAAACTCACAACACAATCCCTGAGTTCTGGAGGAAGTCAACGACATGTGCGTGTTTGCTTGAAATGTGAAGGCGTTTTGTGCGTGCATCTCATCAAAGACTGGATTTTCGTGATTGGGTTGTTGTACAGCCACTTGACTGCTGACATCAAAGGATGAAAGATATATACTGTACAACATCAGCACATTGCAGTTCACAGGAAAAGTGTGTTTGAACAATTTCCTATAAGTTCCTAGACAGCTACGCTCGATCAGGCAATCCTATGAATGCAATTGTAGGGAGTTGTGGATTTTCCCAGCACAATCGATTCAAGAAACGACAGATACTTGAGCATCCATCATCAAGAAGACAACACGATCGTCCATCGCATATTGAGCCATAGCAATGAAGCAACGGATCACACGAGGAAAGCAGTAGAAGAGGAGGTATGCCGTAATGGTGCAAGGACATAGCAAAGTGTATGTGCATACTGCATGGCGCGGAAGAAAGGGCAGTGGGTACATGAAAGTTTGGTGATGAGGGGTGGGCAGGAAGCTGGTGGGGTGGTTAAGCTTGGGTTAAGGGGTGGTGGGGTCAGGAAAGGTATTCATAGATTTACTAGACTCGGGTAGGGTGGTTCATTTCAAGGGGTAGGTTTGATTGTGATAGGGTTGGTCCTAACGAGAGGGTGGGGATGACGAGTTGGGGTTGGAACAACTCTTTCATTGAGGGTGGTACTCATGTATCAAGAAACTATAAGTGGGACAATAATGAATAACACCATACCTTGATGGAGGACGATTAACAAAAGAATCGCTGGGGTGTTGTCTAGACAAAGTTAAGGAGGAAAGCAGGGGGTACCGGAGAGCAACCCGGATGATCTGATTTCAAAGGGGTGGGTACTGGAATGAGATAGACTGTACGGAGATGAGGATAGAGTACGGGTGATATATCTATGACGCAAGTGGAAAGGGGGTGGGTAGTACCCCATTTCCGAACAAGGACGAAAGGTTGGGGGTGAAAAGGGGGCTGGTGGGTAAAATTTTAGCTAATGGTGGGGGTGGGGGTTATAAACATTGGAGGTGGTGGGTCATGAGGCGACATCATCTCGCCCCATCAAATCGGAAGGGTAGGTGAAATTTTGTTAGGGGTACCAACTAGTCCCTATATGATAGGACTATGTGATAGGATCTGCTAGGTCCTTCTGGTGCTATCTTGGAGTTTACTACCCCTCCACCCTCCTCCGAACCCCTTGTGCAATATTGCTCTCGAAGACCCTCAAAACAGGTCCACCCCACCCTGAATCATCCAAACACACCAACCCATCATATTGTCTTCAAATTTCAGGCGTAACTACCGGTGCTTCTGTAGTAGATTGCTTTTTGTAGCCTCTACCACCCACCCCTCCACTGGCACATGAACGTACCGAATCTGGAAACACGGTTTTGAAATTATGGCCTCAAATTTCTCCCTGTTTAAAAATTTTTCCCTGAGGCAGGCTTGCCAGTGATCTGAGCCGGGCCTGTCCGATCGGAGTCACCACTGATGGCAGTGCAGTCTTGTCGTTGCTGCAGTATCGGGCTCGCCTCAGATATTTGGATACAAGGCGACAAAAAGACAGCAATGAGACACTTGAGACATTAATCATGACCCCTCCCTTTCCCCTTCATTGTACCCCTATCCTTCCCACAGATCCTCGTCTGTCGCCTTAGACCGACGAGTATCACCCTACCCATCCTTTTAAGATAAAAGTACCCCTACATCAACCTGACGCCGACTAGCCCTACCCCCGTTTCTCCAACGCGCTCGCTTTTCCCTACCCCTACCCTTCCTCCCTTCCTTCGCATGAGCTCCTGAAACAGATCTTAGAACAGTGGTACCTTGCCTAAGAAAAGTCTTATGTCTGTCAAGAGTGATTTTGGATATCCTTGTAGCTAAGGCTTTAGACGTAACCTGCCCTGAGCGAGACAACCTCCCAGTGTTGCGTCCCTGAACCTCTCCCACCCTACCTACCTCGAGAGTCCTGCGACTCCCTGAATAGGTAAGCAGGGTATAACCCCAACATTTCATGACCAGTGTGGGGCCTACCCTACTTCTGGGCTAGCCATCCAACTGTTAGAAGCTTTTCGGGTGGTTGAAGGATACTATCAGCAAATATTGTATTGCATTTACTATAGAATAGACTAGCTATGAAGGTATGTTTGGATTGCATTTTTTCACACTACCCACTACCACATTTCTTCAAGTACCCCACCCAGGAAATACAGATCCTTGGTACCCCTACCCCATCATTGGAAGGACCCGTACCCGTCTGGATCAGCGGAGGCCATCTAGAGCACCAACAAATTTTGACCAATCCGTCCAAATATTCAATATTTGGAATAAATGTATGAATTCCTTTATAACATCACGAGGAGACTCATCAAAATTTGACGTTAAAATTTTCAAATTATCTCTAAAAATGTAAATTTTACTTGCATTGTACCCCCTTCGGTAATCCTTCTCGGCACATAAAGAGTGAAGTCGGCGGCCGCACTGTTACCCCGCCATGCGCGCGATTCTCCTGTGCGCGGCGATGGCCGGCGCCGCCGCCTTCGCCCCCGCTGGCCAGAGTCCTCTCATGCGGCGCCAGAGCACCTTCCATGGTGCACAGGCTCCCTCCGCGTCCTCTCTCAAGCTGGGAAGCTCCGTACGCCGCACTCCCCGCCTCCGCGCTGCTCCATCTGTCCAGATGAACACGGCCACCGGCAGGTAGGATCATGTGAAAACATAACTGTAATGCCTTCGTGCCATGATGTCGATCAATATTTTTTGATGCTCTCCTTTCCTTCTACGCTATTCATCAAGGATTGTTTGTTTCATCCGACTTTCGTCGTGAACTTGTGTAGTTCGTACGAATCAATTCGCTCGGATGTTTCACAACGAGACCTTTCTAGTGCATGCTTGCTGACACTCGTCAATGCAGGAAGACTGCTCTTGATCGCTACCGCAACATCGGTATCATGGCGCACATTGACGCCGGCAAGACCACCACCACCGAGCGTATTCTCTTCTACACCGGAAAGTCGTACAAGATCGGAGAGGTTCACGAGGGAGGAGCGACAATGGATTGGATGGCGCAGGAGAAGGAGCGCGGTATCACCATTACCTCTGCTGCCACTACCTGTTTCTGGAAGGATCACCGCATCAACATCATCGACACCCCCGGTCACGTTGACTTCACCCTTGAGGTCGAGCGTTCCCTCCGTGTTCTTGACGGAGCTGTTGCCGTGTTCGACGGAGTTTCTGGAGTTGAGCCTCAGTCGGAGACTGTGTGGAGGCAGGCGGACAAGTACGGTGTCCCCAGGATGTGCTTCATCAACAAGATGGATCGCATTGGAGCCAACTTCTACAAGGCTGTCGACTCTATCATCGAGCTCTTGGGAGCTACCCCTCTCGTTCTCCAGCTTCCCATCGGCATGGAGTCTGACTTCCAGGGAGTCGTCGACCTGGTGCAGATGAAGGCGATTGTGTGGAACGGCGAAGAGCTCGGAGCCAAGTTTGACGTTGTTGACATCCCTGCTGAGCTCAAGGACAAGGCCGCCGAGTACCGCGCAAAGCTCGTGGAGCAGGCCGTGGAGCTGGACGATGATGCCATGATGGCGTACCTCGAAGGAGAGGAGCCTGACGTTGATACCCTCAAGAGGCTCATCCGCAAGGGAACCATCGAACAGAAGTTTGTTCCCATCGTTACTGGAACTGCGTTCAAGAACAAGGGAGTTCAGCCCCTCCTCGATGCTGTTGTCGACTACATGCCTTCCCCCCTCGACGTTCCGCCCATCCAGGGTATCAACCCCAAGGACGAGAGCCCCATGGAGCGCAAGTCGTCTGACGAGGAGCCCTTCTCCTGCCTTGCCTTCAAGATCATGAACGATCCGTTCGTCGGCTCGCTCACCTTCACTCGTATCTACTCTGGAGTCATGAGCAAGGGAACCAGCGTCCTCAACTCTGTCAAGGGCAAGAAGGAGCGTATCGGCCGTCTCCTCGAGATGCACGCGGTCGACAGGACTGACCTCGACGAGGCCCGTGCTGGAGACATCGTTGCCCTCATCGGCTTGAAGGATACCACCACCGGAGACACCCTCTGCGATCCCGAAAAGCCTGTTATCCTTGAGAAGATGGACTTCCCCGAGCCTGTGATCAAGGTTGCTGTCGAGCCCGCCTCTAAGAAGGAGCAGGACAAGATGACTGAGGCTCTCATCCGCCTCGCTGCCGAGGACCCCTCCTTCCGTTTCTCCCGCGATGAGGAGTCTGGCCAGACTGTGATCGAGGGTATGGGAGAGCTCCATCTTGAGATTATCGTCGATCGCATGAAGAGAGAGTTCAACGTCGACTGCAACGTTGGTGCCCCCCAGGTTTCCTACCGTGAGGCCATCACTCAGTCTGCTGAGATCGACTACACGCACAAGAAGCAGTCTGGTGGTTCCGGACAGTTCGCCCGTGTCAAGATAAGGTTCGAGCCCCTTCCTGACGGTGAGACCGGCTTCAAGTTCGAGAGCGAGATCAAGGGAGGATCTGTCCCCAAGGAGTACATCCCCGGTGTGACGAAGGGTCTTGAGTCTGTCATGAACAACGGTATCGTTGCTGGCTTCCCTGTCATTGGCATTAAGGCCGTTCTTCTTGACGGAGCTTACCACGAGGTCGATTCCAGCGTGCTGGCCTTCGAGATCGCCGCTCGTTCGGCCATCAAGCAGGGTCTGTCGAAGGGGAAGGCAAGGTTGATGGAGCCCATCATGAAGGTGGAGGTGATCACTCCCGAGGACCACATGGGCGATGTGATCGGAGACATCAACTCTCGTCGTGGCCAGATTGGCAACTTGGGAGAGCGAGGAAACATGAAGACCGTCAAGGCCTTCGTCCCCCTCGCCGAGATGTTCCAGTACGTGTCCACCCTCCGCGGCATGACCAAGGGACGTGCGCAGTACTCCATGGAGCTGGATCACTACGAGCTTGTGCCCCCCAACGTTGAGAAGGACCTCATGGGTCAGTTCAAGCGCAAGGAGGATGATGATGATTAGATGTAGGGCTCGTCTGTTTGCGAGTAAAATTAGACCTGTGACAAGACTGTTTGCACACTTTTATTTTCTTGCAGCTTTCAACCTCTTGAAACGAAGGAGAAGATGCATCCTTGTACCCCTTGGTTGCTCTGAGAAACCACTGCGTGACAAATCTTTTCCATGTCATCGATTGTACCTGCATGTTCCTCAACACAGCTTGCACTCTGCCGATCGTCTGTGTCGGGATCACCTGGTTGTACAGGGTGTGGTGAGACGAGGGTCAGCAGACCAACTCAGCTCACCGCTAGCAGTTCGTTCATGGGTATCAGGGGACGGCAGTTGAAGGCTTGCAAGGCCCTGTGCTCGACGTCAACGGACGGCACAAGAGCAAGGAGGATCGACGACTTTGAGTTTTCGTTTGCAAGTTTCCTGGGCTCTGCAGAGGAAGCAAAGGAATGTGTGAGCACCGAGAGGGAGAGGGAGTGGGAAGGGCAGAGGAAAGAGGAGAGGGAAGGGAAGATGGGGAGGGGAGGAAAGGGGAGAGGGGGGGAACAGGGAGAGGTCGACCTTGCTGCTTTCTTGCTTTCTGCGAATGATACTCTGTCGCCATCTGCTGTAGCCGATTTATGCTGGTCAGCCGCCGCTTGTTCGAGTCGGATAATCTGTTGAGATTGCTGGGTATCGTTTGTTTGCTGCTGTTATCTACATCTTTCAATTTCTTGTCTGGCACGGTTGCGCTCTTGCAATGATCTAAGTTTTCAAGCTTCCTCTTGGCTCCGCACGAGCTCCCTTCCCCCTTGACCGCCTTCACTGCCTCGGCTTTGTGCGTGCCCTTTGCCTTCGGGTTCCTCGAGTTGCTCGCTGACGGCGAGCCCTGAGAGCATCGGATGAGTCGGAGAAAGCGAGGGGGCAGAGAGCACAGACACCTCGTCCTCTGACAGAGGAAGGAAGTCGTCAAAGTCTTGCAGCAGGTCATGGTGGCCTCGGAAGAGAACCTTAACCTGTCGCCAACAGTTGGTATCGCTGCGCGAGTTCAGATTCCTCGCACCTGCTTCTTCGCTTCATCTAACGACAAAGAGTCCTCCTGGAACTTTCCGAGGATGCTGACGAACTTTTCCATGATGCCGGGTTTAGTCTGCTCGAACCTATCGCGGATCTTCTTCACCAGGTCAAGCGCAACCAAGTACTTCTCAGTCTTGATATGATGCTCCACCGGAAGGAACAAGTTGAACCCAACGATCAGCGCGTTCGACTTTCCCGAGAAGATCTTCTTTATTCGCTTCACCACCAGTTGCGTCGAGATCCTGCAAGGAAAGTCAGCCGCGTGCCGTCTCGCCGCCCTCCTCGTCCGGTCACTGACTTTTGATGCTTGAACTCCTCGATTGTCTCCAGAAATTCGGAGAACTCGTTCTTAGACAGCTCTTTCTCCACCGCATGAAGGTAATCCATCGCTACATCCACCGACGGCCCTGCCTTCATGTGGTCTTCCACCCCCTGCGAGCGCTGCGCCGCTACCGAAGCCATGGCCACAAGCCCCGCTCAAGTTGACTCCTGCCTAACGTTCTCACGAGTCAGGGGCGGACAGAGCAAGAGGAGGGAACAAAGAAGGAGGGTAGACTTTGCACAGCTGAGAACTGTACAGGAGGGCTGTTCCATATGTCTTGAGGATTGACATGCATATCGTGGAAACAATCTCTACGACCCAGTCTACCTCCACACTCTAATGCTGGACTCTCAGGTCTTGCACAGACTCGTTAATATCATCCCTCCTCCTCCTGCTCATTCGCGTCCTCATCGCCTTTGAGGCTCTGATCCCCAGCATTCTGCTGCTACAGTGACAAGCTTCCTCGATGTTCCGCCGTCCATCATGCGGAGCTGCAGGCTCTCCTGACTCTATAGACATCGCAACTGGCATAGTCGCATAGTTTATCCATCATCCTCGTTGTGACTGTCACTGCAGTCCCCTCCCTTCATTCTAAACCAATCCTCCGATGGCGCTACCCAGCCCCCCCAGCGCTCTCCCTTCTTCCACATCCATGGCATTCCAACCATCCAATGTGGTTTAGCCACGTTTCTGACATTCCCAACATCATAATCTTTCCTCTTCTGCTCAACAAAATCCTGATGCTGCTTCTGCCCAACCTACCATCATTCAACCCACATCTTTGTTGCTTCTCCGACTATTTTCGTCTGCTCTATCACCATCATATGTATGGCACAGTCCAGTCGACTGCAAATCCTCTCCTTTTCCCTTCTCTCATATTTTCTATAGCTTCGTCCTCTATCTTGGACTCCCTTCCCCTCCTCCTCCTCCTCCTCTTCCTCCATCTCATCTCGCATCTCTCGAGCCCTCCTTACCGCCTTCCTTTCTGGGACCCTACCCCTACCCCTACCCCTACCCCTACCCCTACGCTTCCTCACCCCACTACGGACTACCCCACCCAATGAGCACCCTGCTGCCCGTCTCAAGACCTCACTACCCCCGAATCACCCTCACCCTCCCAAGCATCAATGAATTCCGACACCCTACCCAATTGAATACTCGCTATGTACCATGTTCCAGGTTGAAATATCCCTACAGGAATTGAGTACCCTACCCATACAAAGTCATTATTCTAAAATACCACCCCTGATCATGATACCACCCCAACTCACTAACCCCGTCTTCGTAACTACCCCACCCCCAGGGATGATTCTGCAGCCCCTGTTCAGCAAAAGAGAACAGAAGTTGACTAGGAGAAAGGAACTGCCCCGGGGTCCTGACTCCTAGGACGCCTCAGGGTGATCCTATGAGGTATGTCGACTTTATATAGTATCTCAATTATGAAAATGTGGAGATGGTGAGGGCAAGGGAGGGAGACTTTTGGGTGTTCGCTGCCCTTTGGACTCACAACTATTGAACGTAACAGTTTTCCTCTGCCTTTAAATTTACAACAGAATTTGTAGGAGACAAATTGAGGCAGACTTGAATTAAATAGTCAGAGAATCTCCTTGTTGAGCAATAAAATTATTGAGTAAAGATATTTGAGTGAAAACGTGTTCTGTGACAATGGAGGGAGGAGAGGGAGGGAGAGGGGCAGGAGGAGGGAGAGGGACGTAGGGAGGAAGAATGTTGGCGCCGAGTTCTTGAGGACTTGGCATCATAGGATGAGGATGGGATCGTGGATGACAGATGGACAGAGAGAGAGCTCGGATAGTGAGCGGGGGAAGCCTGATGAGACGCAGATTGAGATTGAGGTAGCATGCGAGAGATTGAGTGGAGATTTCTGCATCCTGGATTGGATTTGGCTGGATGAGAATCGAGACGAGGAGAGGAGGAAGCATTATCAGAAGCAAGTAATCGTATACGAGGTATACAAAAGCATGTGTGGGGAGATTTCAGGTTTGCATCGGTTTGAGGGTTTGAAGTGGATGGGAATGATATGAGAGAGTGAAGGGGCAAGATAAGTTGGAGGATAGGAGCTCTCATAACTGGATTGAACTATCACGCTGGAGATAAGAATACAACGCGTTTCCTGCTTCTGCTCTTCACTCGTTCACTTTCAACAACCCCCCCCCC